GGATACGCAAGGGTCTAGAGCTAATAGTAGAACGATCTATAAATGAGTGTTCACCAACTGACTACTTAGGGTTTACTCTGACCTCTATTAATTTGAAATCTAAAGAGCCTGGATATGTTGTTCCACAACTAGCCTCTGAGGTTACAGCTGATTCATTATGGGATATTTTTGGGGGTATCATTCAAAGTAACTCAGAGTCAATTACTAGTAGTGATACGTTTACAGTAGGTGTTTCTAGATTTAATGTTCCTGTAGGCAAAGGTAGAGCACGTCCAGGAATGTATAATTCATTCAACGAAGAATGCAAAGCAAGAAGGGGAATAGTAGTTATAAATAACAGTGACAACTTATGTCTGGCTAGAGCAATAGTGGTAGGTAAAGCTTATGCAAAAATGGATCCTCAGATTTATGGGATTCGTCAAGACAAGTGCTTGCGACAGACAATTAGGGCAAAAAAACCTATAGCTAAAGCTTGTGTTGAAACACCTGAAGAGGGATCAGGTATCCCTGAACTTGAAAAGTTCCAGGCACACTTAAAGAAATATAAAATAACTGTGTATAATTACGATAGCAAGGGTCGGGATGTATATTTCTCTGGTGGAAATAGTGATGCGAAATTTAAAATCAACTTATTGTACCATGATAACCACTATAATGTTATTACAAACTTAACAGCCGCTTTTGTTTGCAATTATTTCTGTGACGCATGTCACATACCCTATGATCATAAAGGTCAACACAGATGTTCAAATATCTGTCCATCTTGTCACACCTTCTCACCTCCCTGTGTAGAGGAAGATGGCGGCATATCTTGCCGCTATTGTAACCGCTTTTTCAAAAATGAACGGTGCTTTATTGCCCATCAGAGACAAATTTGTAAAACAATTATGTTCTGCCGAGGGTGCGAAAAAATGATATTCCCTACTAAACGTAAATCAGTTCATGTGTGTGGAGAGGTATATTGTCACCCTTGTGGTACATTTAAAAATCCTAATCATAAATGCTACATTCAGATAGACAAGAAAAGCCCAAAAGACCGCGACTACCTATTTATTTTCTTTGATCTGGAAACCCGTCAAGATGAGTCCCTACCCTCAGATTCTGAGACTAAGTTACATAAAGTGAATTTATGTGTTTCCCAACAGTTCTGTTTCAAATGCATTAATGGGAGTGAGTGTGAATCTTGTTCAGAACGTTATAAAATATTTGATAGCGATCCTATTAAGCAGTTCATGGACTATGTAATGGAGACCCGCAAACGTTTCAAAAATGTCTGTGTAATCGCACATAATGGACAAGGGTTCGACTTTCAGTTTATAGTTAGGTATATCCTCGAAGAAACTAAATTCACACCAAACATCACCCCCAGAGGAACTAAAATAATACTAATGGAAGTTGCTAACGTTAGATTTATTGACTCCCTTAGCTACTTCCCCATGTCCTTATCTGCCTTACCAAAAGCTTTTGATCTCCCACCGGAGAAAAAGAAGGGTTATTTTCCACACTTGTTTAATACAATAGCAAATCAAAATTACATAGGACCCATGCCTGATAAAAAGTACTATTGCCCTGAATCTATGTTCGAGAAAACTCACAGTGACTTTGATATTTGGTACAATGAACAGTCTGCAAAAAAGTATGAATTTAATTTTAAAAAAGAGTTATTGGAATACTGTATGTCAGATGTTGACATTTTAGCTCAAGCATGTATCAAATTCAGATCATTACTACTTGAACAATGTAATGTAGATCCGTTTCTTGAGTCAGTAACAATTGCTAGCGAGTGCAATCTAGCCTTTCGTCGTAACTTCTTAAAGCCAAATACAATAGGTCTAATCCCTAAAAATGGTTACCGGTCTTCTACCCAATCAGCTGTTGCACTACAGTGGCTTACCTGGGAGGAAGAAAGACGCGACGTGACAATCAATCATGCTGGACGAAGTAAAGAGGTTGTTATAAAGGGAATGAAAGTGGACGGCTTTGATGGAGAAAACATATACGAGTTCCACGGATGTTACTGGCACGGGTGCCCTAAATTCTTCCCTTACAACCGCGAAACCCCATTAAAAGAGGACCCTTCTGATTCACTTCATTTGCGCTATGAACGCACTAAAGCTAAAATTGAAAAGTTCGGGGACGTAGTGCAGATGTGGGAATGTGATTTCCATAAGTTGAAAAAGGACGAAAAACTCCACCATCTGGACAAATTACCAATTTTAAGTACACTTCCGTTAAATCCTAGAGACGCATTCTTTGGAGGTAGAACAGGGAACGCAAAAACCTACTACAAATGTGGTCCGGGAGAAACCATACAATACGTTGATGTCTGCTCGCTATATCCTTTTGTAAATAAATACTGTAAATATCCTGTGGGCCATCCATCTATTTATGTTGGTAATAAGGAATGTAGACTAAGAGGTATGGAAGTAGATGGACTGTTAAAATGCAAGATCTTACCTCCTTTCAGCTTATATCATCCAGTTTTACCAACACGTATTCATGATAAATTAATGTTTGTTCTGTGCAGAACATGTGGGGAGTTAATGTACCAGGGAGATTGTTTTCATGAAAGTGAAGACAGATATTTAATAGGGACATGGACAATGGATGAGATTAGAAAGGCTGTAGAAAAAGGTTACATTATACTAGATATGCTTGAACTATGGGAGTATGAAGTAGCCACATACGAAAAAGGAGGGTTATTCACTGAGTTTATTGATAAATTTTTAAAACTAAAACAAGAGGCATCTGGATATCCCGGATGGTGTAAAACAGAGGAGGATAAAAAACAGTACATTGCAAAATTTCTTGAGCGTGAAGGTATAGAAATGACAAAGGAGCATATTGTTAAAAATGGGGGCTTAAGATCAGTAGCAAAACTGATGCTAAACAGTTTCTGGGGTAAATTTGGGCAAAGGGAAAATATGATGAAAACATCAATCATCCGAGATTCTAAAGAGTTCTTTCAGTTGTTAACCAATCCTAAGGGTAAGTTAAAATACTTTCAAGCTATTAACCAAGAGGTTGTGCTAGTAAATTGGCAAAATATTGAAGAGGCTAGTGAGTCTTTAAGAACTGTAAATGTAGTTATGGCAGCCTTCACTACTGCTCACGCTAGACTAAAGTTGTATGAACACCTTGATGCCTTAGGAGATCAAGTACTATATTGGGATACAGATATATATTACTACCACAAAGGGTTGTACAGGGTGCCTACAGGAGATTACCTCGGCGAAATGACCGATGAATTAGTAGAGTATGGACCCGGCTCTTATATCACTGAATTTGTCTCTGGGGGGCCTAAAACCTATGCATACCTTGTCTGGTCAACCAATCAACAGAGATTAATCCCAGTTTGTAAAATTAAGGGGCTTACTCTCAATATTAAAACATCAAAAATTTTGAATTTTGAGAAACTAAAAGAAATGGTTTTAAGTGAAGCTTCTAAAATCATTGAAATTGATGAGCACAGAATTAGACGAACAAAATATAGAGATATTGTAACAACAGAGGAGGTTAAACAGTTTAAGGTAACCGGCCCAAAGAGAAAATACGAAGGAGAGCATGACACTCTACCTTATGGATACAAAAGACAGAAGCATTAACCTTATATAGGTGGGTGTCATGATATGTTTTTAATCACTTTACCGTTAACAGTCAACAAGAACAGACATATCACTGGTGATCTCCTCACATGTAATAGCTGTATTTCTCAGATTTCTGTCTAAAAAAGACATAATTGAAAATAAAAGGTTTAATATTAAAACTTCAGAGTTTCAGTTTTTTCTAACTGATTCAATAGATGTGTTGGAATGGCCACAGGCTTTTTCAGACTATATTATAGAAATAATTACAGAAGACATACCCCCATCATGTTCTATTGGGGTGTTATTAACATATGAAGACACATCTGGTAATATACCATTTATGCCTATCACTACACTTACATCAGCATCATTCTCTAATTACTTTGACAGTATATTTGCTAAAATAGAATCAATGACAGGTGTTTTAAAAATTGAAGTGACAACAGTTTCCATACCAAGCAGGTATCATTGATACATAAAACCCTAATTCATTTAACCTAAAAATGAGTATAATCCTTCTATAAAGATAAAACACTCCTCTAACTTTTTCTACAGACAATAGCTACCAATTAAAATGTTAAAATATGTAACAAAATAAAGTAAATTGGGACAATAAAATATATAATAATACATAAACAGATTATGGGTCCATTCCCATTCCCCCTGTGTGTATGTGTGTGTGCATTGAGGCGTTCAGATTGAAAAGAACCTGTGCTACTCCTTGTACTTGTGTGAATGTGTGTGTACATTGAGGCGTTCAGATCTCAAAGGACCTGTACTACTCCTTGTACCTGTGTGAATGTGTATATATGTATGCTCAACATACTGGAGGTTGGCCTAAAAAACCATAAAACCATGTTGTGTTACCCTCCATGAGTATGTTTGCCATCAGGCAGTCAATCAAAAGACTGGGGGTTGGCCTAAAAAACCAAAAAACCATGTTGTGTTACCCTCCATGTCACCAACCCTAACCCCTTTCCTTCAGGACCTTAATCTGATAACAATATTCCTTCATTCCTAATAAATCATAAACTAAAATAAACAATACACCCTGTAATCAGCTTCATGAATTTTAAAAATAAGCACAACAAGAATGAAATGTACTAAAATAAAACAGGACACCTAATAAATATCATTTTAAAGATAAGCAGGTTAACATAAAAAATATGAGTAGTAGTAAATCTGTTATAGAATAACTACTACCATAATAGTGAGAATAGGCCTCCAGGGGAAACTCACTTAAATCAAAAACGCGCCAAGACCCATACGGCTTAGCCTAAAGGCTTACCGTGGTGTGGAAACTTGGGTCACCTAAGCTCTTAAGAGATTATGCAATTGAAAAGGATTACAGCTACAGTTTAATTGTGTGTCTAGATAGTGTAGACCTCTAAAGAATAAAAAACCACAAATGTTTTACTTGAATTGGGCATCCTTCTCCTCCTTCTCTTCCTCCTTTTCCTCCTCTTCCTCTTCCTTTTCCTCTTCCTTCTCCTTTTCCTCTTCCTTTTCCTCTTCTTCCTCCTTTTTCTCTTCTTCTTCCTTTACCCTCTCTTCTTCTTCCACCTTTTCCTTATTTTCTTCCTTCTTCCTCTCCTCCTTCTTTTTTTCCTCCTTCTTTTTTCCTCCTCATCCCTCTTCCTTCTACTCCTCCTCTTCTTCCTTTACCTCATCCTCTTTTTTCTTCCACTCCTCCTCCTCCTCTAGGTTAAGTATATTTAAATACATGTACTACCTATCTTTGTTTTAGTTTTTCTCCTCTGTTCTTTATATAGGTTTTCTATGCTGTCAATAAAATTATTAGTTTTCATTGCTCTAAAATACAAAATCACTGATAGGTGTATAATTTTTACTGTAGAATTAAACAGACATGATTCTCATCTGTACTCTTGACTATAGCAGTCACAACAAACATAGATATTAACATTGCAATACATCAAAACAGTAGATTATATCAACAACATTACATTGTAATAGTCATTAGCACCATACAGGAATATAGAAAAGTAGCTAGAGATAATACAAATTTAACATCAGTATGAAAAAAGGATACAATAGAGGCTATATTAGGAGCTATTAGCATTACATTAGGATAAGTCAACATATATTCCAAACTCTCCTCAGTTAAGATAAAACAAGAATAAAGAAATATAGTCATACACAATACACAGGCAACAAAGATATGTTTACAGTTACAACACAAACAAAGACATAAACAGTAAATTTAAACATTTAACAAAACCCTCAATATAATATGGTTAACTAAACAAAAACTGTTAACACACAATGATTATAACAGGTTTTAATATAGGATACAACAAGATACAGTAAACAGTTGAGGTAGTACATAAATGTGTTTGTTGATCCATAAAAAATAGTTGTCAACAAAAGTTACACCAGAAACCACAATCAGTGGTGATAAGATCAACACATATCAGTCATTGCTATCAGATATACAAGTGATTGTATATTAGAACAGTACAAATATTAAATGTAATACTATACAATACAAATATAATACAATGTAGTACAAGTGTAATACTATACCAGTTTCAAGTACCAAGGATACAGGAAAGTCATTAAAATCAATTACATTCATTACTATAAACTTGATGAAGTTACCCAATTTGTTTCTTGTTATTCAACACCTCAATAAAAATAAGCACTAAATAAAAATTCATTGACACTAAGTTAACTCCAAAAAAGACTTGTTTTGGACTACATACATTAGGTTGCAGTTAAGGTCCAAAGTTAAGATTATATCACAATTTGGCAGAAATATGTAACACAGGAAATACCAGTTATTAAACAGTTGGATACTAGTAAGATTTAAACCCACAACCTCTAGAATCAAAGATTCATACTACTCCCACTTCAATACCAAAAGTCAAAATATTTACCCCACCAGATCAGTGACTAATAGGATTCAAACCCACAGCCTCTGAGTTGAGGTAGTACATAAATATGTTTACATGAACAAATAGCTGTCAACAGTTGGTATACCAGAAAGATGACATCACTCACAGTTCACACATATCAGATGTACTTGTAGTACAACTCTACAAAAGTGTTGGTGTATTAATAAGATATATTAAAATACAGTGCAAGTAATAGTAAAAAGTACAGTGCTCAAGTTTCAATTCATTAGTAAAATCTGAAGAACACTGACACCTGAAGAGGGATCAGGTATCCCTGAACTTGAAAAGTTCCAGGCACACTTAAAGAAATATAAAATAACTGTGTATAATTACGATAGCAAGGGTCGGGATGTATAATTCTCTGGTGGGAATAGTGATGCGAAATTTAAAATCAACTTATTGTACCATGATAACCACTATAATGTTATTACAAACTTAACAGCCGCTTTTGTTTGCAATTATTTCTGTGACGCATGTCACATACCCTATGATCATAAAGGTCAACACAGATGTTCAAATATCTGTCCATCTTGTCACACCTTCTCACCTCCCTGTGTAGAGGAAGATGGCGGCATATCTTGCCGCTATTGTAACCGCTTTTTCAAAAATGAACGGTGCTTTATTGCCCATCAGAGACAAATTTGTAAAACAATTAAGTTCTGCCGAGGGTGCGAAAAAATGATATTCCCTACTAAACGTAAATCAGTTCATGTGTGTGGAGAGGTATATTGTCACCCTTGTGGTACATTTAAAGATCCTAATCATAAATGCTACATTCAGATAGACAAGAAAAGCCCAAAAGACCGCGACTACCTATTTATTTTCTTTGATCTAGAAACCCGTCAGGATGAGGCCCTGCCCTCAGACCCAAATCTAAAAGTACATAGAGTAAACTTGTGTGTGTCCCAGCAGTTTTGTTTCAAATGCATCAAAGGAATTGAATGTGAATCTTGTTCAGAACGTTATAAAATATTTGATAGCGATCCTATTAAGCAGTTCATGGACTATGTAATGGAGACCCGCAAACGTTTCAAAAATGTCTGTGTAATCGCACATAATGGACAAGGGTTCGACTTTCAGTTTATACTTAGGTATATCCTCGAAGAAACTAAATTCACACCAAACATCACCCCCAGAGGAACTAAAATAATACTAATGGAAGTTGCTAACGTTAGATTTATTGACTCCCTTAGCTACTTCCCCATGTCCTTATCTGCCTTACCAAAAGCTTTTGATCTCCCACCGGAGAAAAAGAAGGGTTATTTTCCACACTTGTTTAATACAATAGCAAATCAAAATTACATAGGTCCCATGCCTGATAAAAAGTACTATTGCCCTGAATCTATGTTCGAGAAAACTCACAGTGACTTTGATATTTGGTACAATGAACAGTCTGCAAAAAAGTATGAATTTAATTTTAAAAAAGAGTTATTGGAATACTGTATGTCAGATGTTGACATTTTAGCTCAAGCATGTATCAAATTCAGATCATTACTACTTGAACAATGTAATGTAGATCCGTTTCTTGAGTCAGTAACAATTGCTAGCGAGTGCAATCTAGCCTTTCGTCGTAACTTCTTAAAGCCAAATACAATAGGTCTAATCCCTAAAAATGGTTACCGGTCTTCTACCCAATCAGCTGTTGCACTACAGTGGCTTACCTGGGAGGAGGAAAGACGCGACGTGACAATCAATCATGCTGGACGAAGTAAAGAGGTTGTTATAAAGGGAATGAAAGTGGACGGCTTTGATGGAGAAAACATATACGAGTTCCACGGATGTTACTGGCACGGGTGCCCTAATTGCTTCCCTTACAACCGCGAAACCCCATTAAAAGAGAGTACTTTACTTCTTCTACTAACTTCATAATTTTTATAGACAAGTAGTTCAACTTAATTTGAGGTTTCGACTTTGGAACTGTATAATCAAACTAAGTACCGTGTCCGTAAAAGCGTACAAAATGCAAAAAGAATTGGTTCGCGGTTCCTGAGGTCGCTGAAACTACTTCGAGATACATGGCTTTAGAGGTACTGCACGGTAATCATATGGAACATACAATTAGCATTTAGTCTGTACAAACAATACCTATACTTTAACCTAGTTGTCAGCGTACCTGGTGTGCGGGGAAGGGCGGCCTGGTCTGTGGCTGCTGCGAAAGTGTCGAGGGTGACGCGGGGTACAGGGAAGGGTACCTGTGAGGGTACGGAGGGTACTGCTGAGGAGGTGTAGGACCCGGACCTGCTGGGGACCCGGCACTGGGGGGATACACGGGGCCTGGTGACCCACTACCACCACCGTACTGACTGCCTCGACCACCCTGCAACAATACAACATGGTAAACAACATAGCCAGTGTACATAAACAAGTGGTTTACACAATTACCTTCCCTACAACTATACTATACCCTGCAATATGGGAGTGCCACCTGAACGCCAGGTAAAATACATATGTGCCGGGGTAATTCCAAATTACTAAGGATATAGTAGGTAGATCGCTTATATACAAACAAATATATCCAATACAAGTACACAAGTAAAGGTTTACATTCCGATTGACTTAAATATATCCAGATACAATAACTACCTCCTTTAAACTCACGGGAAAGGAGAAATGTATTGTCATCTTAGCCGTGTGGAAAATACAGACAATTTTGTAGGTTTTGAGAACCAATTGCATTTTAATCCCTTACAAAAAATTACTGCAACAGAAATTGTAATTTCAATTAATGAAAACTGCCAAGAGAGAGCCTCTTTATAAAATGTTGTAAAGAATCATTGCTAACCTTAGACGTTTAAAATCAAGTTTTTTTGACTCTTGCATTACAAGTTCAATAAATTAAATTTCAACTCCGTTTGTCCAAAAACGAGTTTGAGACAAATGCTGTACGGGAAAATATTGCCACGAATTTGAACAGTAGTTTTAAAATGTAAAGCATAACACATTTAAAAAATCTGTGGTTCAAAAGTTACCAATTTTCTGCAAAAATTTGTAAGTAAAAATTAAATAAGCTAATAGAAATATGTAAACGAAACGCACGTGGAACATATTGTATTCTATCGCCTAAACAGTTGATTTATCCCAGAGGCCCGCTGCTTATTCGGCGGGTCGTGATAGTGTGGCGTGCGCTACTGTAGGTTTCAGCTGATAAACAGCTGACTGAGTCACGTGACTGATGTGATAAGCCAAGGTCGCGAGGTCATTGACCTTGACCCTCTCTGTTTACATCGTCCACCTGTCACTATCGCCATCTCTCTTCAGCCTGCAGCCTCCAACCCCACGACAAGACGAGGCAGTTCTGACGACAATGGGCTGCGATTGAATCATGGCCCTTGGGGTTTTAAAAGTTCAACTATTGTAATGTGGTGTTTTATGACATCTTATCGTCAACGTCCTTTGATTTAGAACCTTCGTATCGTATTACATACAGTTACCATTGATGTACTATCATTAACATTCAACGTCAATCTTTCACTATTTAAATACGCATTGGTGTATTTGCCAAGTACAAATCTATTATCATCATATTTATTTAGATGTATTCAGCTTACAGTAAGTATTCATCCATAATACTCCATATAATATTGTTTGAATTTAATGAAAACCGGGAAACAAACGTCTCTAGACTCGAGATTGTGGTTGGTTTCCGTTCCGTTCCGGAAGTATAAAAATACAGTTTACAAGTGTTCGATTAAATAATGAAAAATATTCACCTAACACTACTTGTTTATGTGTCTGTAACTTTATTCTTAAACACCTTTAAATGTATAAGAAAAATAAGATGAATCAAGACTTGTAGGCAAGGAGAGTTTAAATTTATGACCCAAAGGCGAACAAGGGCGAACTGAAATTGTGAAAATCTCAGTATTGAAAATTTAACTATCATCATTCAAGAAGGGGCGGGGAATTGATGTATATGAAAACCTCTTAGTGGTCTTTCCTTCCCACTTTGAAAACTATTAAATTTACAAAAATGTCAAAGTACATAACTAAGTTATTGTACCAAATATGGACAATAAACTATATTAAAACTCTAGAGATATAAGGTAACCCCCCTAAAAAACGATTAACATTTATAACATTTCAAAGTGTTCAATGTCAAACCACAAAACTATCATCCCTAAAGATATACCTGAACCAACTACAAAGGGGGGATAACCAAAACACCAAGGGGCTTTTCCACCTCAACTATTAAAACCCTAGTCGGGGAAACCCTTCTAAACGCATAGCGGCTTTGAAAACAAAAATTTGCATCGAGGAAAGAAGTAGTTTATTATACAGAACGCTAATGACAGAGTATACACCAGCGGGATCTCGGACAAAACACACACCCCCCTAGCACCCCCCTGGTCGATGGACCAATGGCGGTGGAGGGCGGGGCGAGACTACCCCTAGAGGGGACCAGGGGGCAGTGTACCGTCTTAATCCCCAAGGGCCGCACATCAAATAACAAACGTCCGCTCGCTAGACAGCGGCAGCGGCCCGCAAAGCCTGATTCGATAAAAACCGACGATATTCCAGAGTCCACGTGGGGAGTGAAACCGATAGTCGATTACTGAAACGATTTTAGGATCGGTAAAAAGATTTGTAGGTTTAAGCAATGTAATTGGATAAAAGTTAGTTCGGTAAATATTCATCAAACCAATTTTATTTCCTCTATAACCTTTGTACAAAAATTAGTTTCTAGGGAAAATCTTTTACAAAAACATAACCACTTTAGTTTTTAAATTTTGGCGAAAAATAATCAAGCTCCAAACTTTTATTTAATTTAGCCCTGGAATGGATCAATAATTACTAACAGTAAACATTGTGTTGTTTTCACGCTGATCAAGTTGTACCTTAAAAACATAGAATAAATCCATGTTCAGAGTGAACGATGTACAAGCGTATAAAGAAGCGAGATTAAAAATAAATGAATAAACAACATCGAAACTCTTTTCATAACGTAAGGACCTACTTAAAGAAACATTTTCGCCCTTCGACGACAAATAATCCAACGCACAAAGACATGAGTTTAAAATCGCAGAATTTTAAACATACAATTCACCAATAAAAATACACGATTCCGAGAAAGTGTGAGTACTCTTGGCTCACAGCTATTTACTAACATCACACCGCGCTTTGAATGTTCAGTTTACAAAACACAACAGAACTTACGTCCAGTTGATTACAGAAAGTATTTTCCCTTTAGCACATTTACATATAATTTATTTTATTGTACATGTTTATATGATTACGCGATGATAAAGATATTTCAACCATTAATTATATTACGTGTTCAAACTTTTGTTAAAATTCTCTGGAATGAATGTAAAGATACTATTGTTATACCATTTGTATTAAATAAGTTTTGGTGCTTACAATTCACTATAATTCGGAAGTGGATAATAATGAAGGCGTTTTAATAATTGAGAGATTAAAACAGCAGCCATTTAAGCCACACCCGTCACTTTATTTGTATTGTAATTATGTTATGCAATAAATACAAGAAAATAATTATATTGCTAGTAACTTAGTACTTCAATACACTTGGAGGCGTAGGCCTATTATAAGCTATAATGAAAGCAGGGCGAATAACCTTTGCAGCTTTGTAACTTATTTAATCAAGCTATCTTTGTCCAAAACCATTTCATAAAAACCCATATGTCCAACGACAGCTACCACTTTTCGCCAAATTCAATCCTTTCCACTGTAAATCGAGTAGGGTACTTAATCTAATCAGTTCCGCTTTACAAATTATGATGCAATTTATATAAAGCTATACAATTATAACTAAATAAACCATAATGTGTGGCTCGGATCAATAATGATATTGATTTTTCAGTGCATCAGCACCAGCGATCACAAAAGACCAATAGATGGAGCACTGGGGCTGGCCGCTGAAGCCAACTTTGGCGCGCGACATAGGTAAGATGGCGGCCGCGGGGCGATGAGTCATGCTAGTAGCGAGCGCTCATACCCACCCCGTACCAGGGCTACTGTTCACACCACGCTGTGTTCACTACATCACATCCACTCAACACTCCTGCAGTAGGGATGTACATGGACATTTCGCCACCGATTGGCAATGCTTTATGTGATTTGTAAAAAATATTTTAAAGTTAGACTTCATCATTATTGTAAAACCGTCAGTGCTTCATTGCACAAAAACAAAATTAGAAATCACTTACTTAAAACTATTACATTTCTGGGCCAGTAAAAAAATGTAGGCTACACTATGTTAGTGAAATATTTTTATGTTGATACACGGTGTTTTTGCAAGAAATTTACAAGCACCCCAAATTAAAAGAACTTTGCAAAAAGTGTTCTGAAATTGTATATCACCCGATCTTTTCCATAACCTTTTCCATATATGTTTATTTAATTTTATATTAGTACATTTCTATTTTATGCATATGCATTAATCAATAGTTAACATGGGGTGCATTAAAATATCAGTAATTTTAATTTGGTTTATTAATTAATCAAAAAAAGTATTATGTGGTTGTTTATAACATTATGGATTGTATTTATTTCATATTTTGTTGTCTCATTTTTAGGATATACAAAAATTTGAATCTGTATAAAAATTTTTGTATTTCAGTTTCATTGTGACATTTACATTTTTTTAAATAGGCCTACAGTAATAAACATTTACTTGTCTAGATTTTCATTTTATTGTAGGGCCTACCTTGTAATCCCGCCAGTTTAATATTAAAGTAAACTGATAGAAGGTATATTTAAAAATTATAAGATGATTTAATATGATTCTGTGGTGACTTTTTACGTTTCAAATTTAGAGAATACGTTTAAATAACATTATGTTTTGCTTGAAGCCAAGCGCCGAGAACGGCAGGTGCTCGGACGCTTTCGACAGACAGGTTGAGCGCTAAGCTTGGTTTTTCGCCAATGTTCTACCGGCCATATCAAGAAAACGGCTGGTGTTAAAAAACTAATGATTACATAAAAAAATAATTTAACTCTTAATCTAAAACTTTCCCGCTTACAAAACTTTCCTGTCCAAAAAATAAAAAAAAATCCTCGCAGACCAACTTTTTCATGTTACAGTTTTAAAAGAGTTTAAAGCTTTCGATTTCTTTTACAAATTAAAATTATATATAACGTAAAGTTGGGAATTTGAAGTAAACCATTAGAATCCAGGTCTCATAAGGAATATGTACACCAAATTTCAACGGTTTATCTATATCCTAAGTGGGCTAAATGACGATGTATTTGAAGCACGAACAGTGCAATTTTTAGCTTCTTTAAACGCGAGTTGGCGTTTCTAGATATATCCAAGATGGCTGACATGGCTTCACAGCCCGTAATGCTATAGGTATAGGAGTGCTCCATCTTTTGGTCTTTTGTGATCGCTGATCAGCACTCAGCAGTCTCTGGCTGCACCACCATCGATCCGTGGCTGACTGCAGACAACCCCTAACTGGACCTCCGCTGTACTCTCGTAGTGCTGACGATGATACGAAATGTATTTCATTCAAGTTTTGTTTTATAAAATGTCATAGGATTACTACTGGAGGAAAATTTACCTCGATATTGGGTATGGTTCAGTTTCTAGCCGTTAAAAAGCGGTTGGCTTCTAACCATAAAAAGTTGTTGGCTTCTAACCATAAAAAGCTGTTGGCTTCTTATCATCAAAAAGCTGCTGGCTTTTTAACCATCAACAATCTATTGGCTTTTAACCGTAAAAATGCTGTTGGCTTCTAACCATGAAAAAGCTGTTGGCTTCTAACTATAAAAAGCTGTTGGCTTCTAACGACAAAAAATGCCGGCTTTTTAATAATTGAAAAGGCAAAGAATTTATTAGGCCTACTAGGTTAACACCACCTTTCTATGCCTATACCCTGTTTGCCTAGGGAATGCTGCTAACCGATAGTCGGCCCTACTCACACACGGGTTAGGCCGCGGCTCCACTTGCCGTAGATTGCCGCGCTGCAAATTGTAGCTGGTCAGTTGAAGGAATGGGAAGGCAGCGATCAAACGAAGGTGGCTCCACTAGCGACAGTCTGCAGCGCGCTACATTTTACGGCGCACCGTAGAATGTAGCGTCGCGCGGGAATGGAACTCGGACCATTTTCTCGCTACATTTTGCAGCCAACAGGTGGCTCCACTAGCTGTAGATTGTAGTGCCGCATCAAGTCAGTGTACGTATAAGACACACGCGCAGCCTTAGGACTGAGCTCCAACCGAACTCTCTGAGCAAACAGGGTTCAGAATACTCAAAAGTGTTTACACCATAGCTTACACAGGGGGGCAATTGCGACTGCTCTAGAAAACCTGCATGTTTCTACTTAGTGTACATGATGAATTCAGCTTTCAAAATGAATTTAATTGCCATACATCGTTGTCATACAAGTAAAATGAAATATTTTAAAAGCTGGTAAGAAGTTTCGTTTTATTGCCATCCTTCGATGTCATGTTGCTTACAGCATGTACACGAAGGCTAACACTGATATGATATAAACAAAGCTACTTTAGTGGGACGAAATCACGAAATATTGCCAGAAACTAGCCTGCAAGATCGCCGAGCAGATCAATACGCAGCGGCGGCACATCTCCACCCCGCGGAATCGGCACATGACCTATATTGGGACACTACCGAAGGATTGTGGCAAAATTTGATTTACTAGCGAACATCAATCAAACCCAATCGGTGCCTGATGTATTTGGGTAATACTGAGGAGTATTTTCTGACTGTCTAATTTCAAACTTCACAAATATAAAAATATAACATCAAAAAGTTTTACGAAGGATGATGTATACTATTCAATTGGTAACGAGAGAGAGAGTGATGGAGGGAGGGAAAGGGATGCGTAACGGCAACGGACTGGATATACAGAGTTTGTCGCCGTTGATTCACTTAGTTTCGGTGGATCGGGCGCCAAACTAAGTGGAACTCGAAATCTCTGGAGTAAAACGTGCTTTAGAAATGTTGTGAACGTAACACTTTCTATCTGCTCATGGGTAAAATGCCGTCAAGTATGAGTACGGAATGTTTCATGCTACTTAGTGAGTGTTCGGGCGAGACCCACCGATAAATATTATTTCGGTATGGTTTACTAAGTAACAACATCTTCACGAGGATAATGTTTAAAAATTCAATTGAAAAAAGACAGAAGTTGACGACATTAAAATTACTCATCACCAGCATTAAACCGTCAAATTAATCAACGAAGCCACCACCGTGGGAAACCGTTATCAAGGGAGATAAGACTGTTAATTATACACTGACAGATGGGAGCAAACAAAGAGAGATGGAGGCAAAGATACCGCGAGCCGATGGAAATCAGCTGAGATGGCGGCGGAAATAAATTGGCGATAATATAACGGCCCAGAGTCATGAATGAATCAAGGTCTACGTTACAACTCGTGCCAATTGCCGCCGCCATTCTTAAATAACCGTGAGGAAATAAATGGGTTTCTTGGAGTGAGCGCGTTTGGGGGAGGTGGGGGGATCTGTCTAGACTGTGATTGGCAGTCGGGATTGATACCGCACTAACAGACCTGTCAAAACATCCCACTACACAGGGAACTATACACAACTACTGTTGCATTCTTGTACCTTGGTAGCTGACGTGTAGGGGAGGTGGGGGGATCTGTCTAGACTGTGATTGGCAGCCGGGATTGATACCGCACTAACAGACCTGTCAAAACATCCCACTACACAGGGAACTATACACAACTACTGTTGCATTCTTGTACCTTGGTAGCTGACGTGTAGGGGAGGTGGAGGATCTGTCTAGACTGTGATTGGCAGCCGGGATTGATACCGCACTAACGGACCTGTCAAAACATCCCACTACACAGGGAACTGTACACAACTACTGTTGTATTCTTGTACCTTGGTGACTGACGTGTGGCGGAGCTGGGGGGATCTGTCTACACTGTGATTGGCAGTCGGGATTGATACCGCACTAACAGACCTGTCAAAACATCCCACTACACAGGGAACTGTACACAACTACTGTTGTATTCTTGCACCCTGGTAGCTGACGTGTGGGGGAGGTGGAGGATCTGTCTAGACTGTGATTGGCAGCCGGGATTGATACCGCACTAACAGACCTGTCAAAACATCCCACTACACAGGGAACTGTACACAACTACTGTTGTATTCTTGTACCTTGGTGACTGACGTGTGGGGGAGCTGGGGGGATCTGTCTAGACTGTGATTGGCAGCCGGGATTGATACCGCACTAACAGACCTGTCAAAACATCCCACTACACAGGGAACTGTACACAACTACTGTTGTATTCTTGTACCTTGGTGACTGACGTGTGGGGGAGCTGGGGGGATCTGTCTAGACTGTGATTGGCAGTCGGGATTGATACCGCACTAACAGACCTGTCAAAACATCCCACTACACAGAGAACTATACACAACTACTGTTTTATTCTTGCACCTTGCTGACTGACGTGTGGGTCGTGTGCTCCTGCTATCTCCGCGTTCCACCACCTCCGAACCCAAATCTGTCCCGCCACCTCCGAATTCTTGAGTGACCGTTATAATCCCGTCATTGCCTGCGTTGGTAGCTGTCATTGCATGGATGTCATTGGATGGAAGATTTGATGAAAATTTAACCCGTGGGTTAAGTTAGGTTAGGTTAGGTTAGGTTAGGTTAAGTTAGGTAAGGTTAGGTTAAGTTAGGTTTGGTTAAGTTAGGTTAGATTAGGTTAGGACGGAAAGTCTTAACGCAGGTATTAACCGAGGATTATAGGGGTCACTCTGAAATTCGGAGGTGGCGGGACACGGAGGTGCCGGGACGCGGAGATAGCGGGAGGTAACCGTGTGGGGGAGGTGGAGGATCTGTCTAGACTGTGATTGGCAGCCGGGATTGATACCGCACTAACAGACCTGTCAAAACATCCCACTACACAGAGAACTATACACAACTACTGTTGTATTCTTGTACCTTGGTAGCTGACGTGTGGAGAGGTGGTGGGATCTGTCTAGACTGTGATTGGCAGCCGGGATTGATACCGCACTAACAGACCAGTCAAAACATCCCACTACACAGGGAACTATACACAACTACTGTTGTATTCTTGCACCCTGGTAGCTGACGTGTGGGGGAGGTGGTGGGATCTGTCTAGACTGTGATTGGCAGTCGGGATTGATACCGCACTAACAGACCTGTCAAAACATCCCACTACACAGAGAACTATACACAACTACTGTTGTATTCTTGTACCTTGGTAGCTGACGTGTGGGGGAGGTGGTGGGATCTGCCTAGACTGTGATTGGCAGCCGGGATTGATACCGCACTAACAGACCTGTCAAAACATCTCACTACACAGGAAACTATACACAACTACTGTTGTATTCTTGTACCTTGGTAGCTGACGTGTGGGGGAGGTGGAGGATCTGTCTAGACTGTGATTGGCAGCCGGGATTGATACCGCACTAACAGACCTGTCAAAACATCCCACTACACAGACAACTATACACAACTACTGTTGTATTCTTGTACCTTGGTAGCTGACGTGTAGGGGAGGTGGGGGATCTGTCTAGACTGTGATTGGCAGCCGGGATTGATACCGCACTAACAGACCTGTCAAAACATCTCACTACACAGGGAACTATACACAACTACTGTTGTATTCTTGTACCTTGGTAGCTGACGTGTGGGGGAGGTGGAGGATCTGTCTAGACTGTGATTGGCAGCCGGGATTGATACCGCACTAACAGACCTGTCAAAACATCCCACTACACAGACAACTATACACAACTACTGTTGTATTCTTGTACCTTGGTAGCTGACGTGTAGGGGAGGTGGGGGATCTGTCTAGACTGTGATTGGCAGCCGGGATTGATACCGCACTAACAGACCTGTCAAAACATCCCACTACACAGAGAACTATACACAACTACTGTTGTATTCTTGTACCTTGGTAGCTGACGTGTTGGGGAGGTGGTGGGATCTGCCTAGACTGTGATTGGCAGTCGGGATTGATACCGCACTAACAGACCTTTAAAAACATCCCACTACACAGAGAACTATACACAACTACTGTTGTATTCTTGTACCTTGGTAGCTGACGTGTAGGGGAGGTGGAGGATCTGTCTAGACTGTGATTGGCAGCCGGGATTGATACCACACTAACAGACCTGTCAAAACATCCCACTACACAGAGAACTATACACAACTACTGTTGTATTCTTGTACCTTGGTAGCTGACGTGTGGGGGAGGTGGGGGGATCTGTCTAGACTGTGATTGGCAGCCGGGATTGATACCGCACTAACAGACCTGTCAAAACATCCCACTACACAGAGAACTATACACAACTACTGTTGTATTCTTGTACCTTGGTAGCTGACGTGTGGAGAGGTGGTGGGATCTGTCTAGACTGTGATTGGCAGCCGGGATTGATACCGCACTAACAGACCAGTCAAAACATCCCACTACACAGGGAACTATACACAACTACTGTTGTATTCTTGCACCCTGGTAGCTGACGTGTGGGGGAGGTGGTGGGATCTGTCTAGACTGTGATTGGCAGTCGGGATTGATACCGCACTAACAGATCTGTCAAAACATCCCACTACACAGAGAACTATACACAACTACTATTGTATTCTTGTACCTTGGTAGCTGACGTGTGGGGGAGGTGGTGGGATCTGCCTAGACTGTGATTGGCAGTCGGGATTGATACCGCACTAACAGGCCTGTCAAAACATCCCACTACACAGAGAACTATACACAACTACTGTTGTATTCTTGTACCTTGGTAGCTGACGTGTAGGGGAGGTGGGGGATCTGTCTAGACTGTGATTGGCAGCCGGGATTGATACTGCACTAACAGACCTGTCAAAACATCCCACTACACAGAGAACTATACACAACTACTGTTGTATTCTTGTACCTTGGTAGCTGACGTGTGGAGAGGTGGTGGGATCTGTCTAGACTGTGATTGGCAGCCGGGATTGATACCGCACTAATAAACCAGTCAAAACATCCCACTACACAGGGAACTATACACAACTACTGTTGTATTCTTGTACCTTGGTAGCTGACGTGTGGGGGAGGTTGAGGATCTGTCTAGACTGTGATTGGCAGCCGGGATTGGTACCGCACTAACAGACCTGTCAAAACATCTCACTACACAGACAACTATACACAACTACTGTTGTATTCTTGTACCTTGGTAGCTGACGTGTAGGGGAGGTGGAGGATCTGTCTAGACTGTGATTGGCAGCCGGGGTTGATACCGCACTAACAGACCTCTCAAAACATCTCACTACACAGGGAACTATACACAACTACTGTTGTATTCTTGTACCTTGGTAGCTTACGTGTGGGGGAGGTGGAGGATCTGTCTAGACTGTGATTGGCAGCCGGGATTGATACCGCACTAACAGACCTGTCAAAACATCCCACTACACAGGGAACTATACACAACTACTGTTGTATTCTTGTGTCTTGGTAGCTGACGTGTGGGGGAGGTGGAGGATCTGTCTAGACTGTGATTGGCAGCCGGGGTTGATACCACACTAACAGACCTGTCAAAACATCTCACTACACAGGGAACTATACACAACTACTGTTGTATTCTTGTACCTTGGTAGCTTACGTGTGGGGGAGGTGGAGGATCTGTCTAGACTGTGATTGGCAGCCGGGATTGATACCGCACTAACAGACCTGTCAAAACATCCCACTACACAGACAACTATACACAACTACTGTTGTATTCTTGTACCTTGGTAGCTGACGTGTAGGGGAGGTGGGGTGGATCTGTCTAGACTGTTATTGGCAGCAGGGATTGATACCGCACTAACAGACCTGTCAAAACATCCCACTACACAGACAACTATACACAACTACTGTTGTATTCTTGTACCTTGGTAGCTGACGTGTTGGGGAGGTGGTGGGATCTGCCTAGACTGTGATTGGCAGCCGGGATTGATACCGCACTAACAGACCTGTCAAAACATCTCACTACACAGGGAACTATACACAAATACTGTTGTATTCTTGTACCTTGGTAGCTGACGTGTGGGGGAGGTGGTGGGATCTGCCTAGACTGTGATTGACAGCCGGGATTGATACCGCACTAACAGACCTGTCAAAACATCTCACTAAACAGACAACTATACACAACTACTGTTGTATTCTTGTACCTTGGTAGCTGACGTGTAGGGGAGGTGGGGGGATCTGTCTGGACTGTGATTGGCAGCCGGGATTGATACCGCACTAACAGACCTGTCAAAACATCTCACTACACAGGGAACTATACACAACTACTGTTGTATTTTTGTACCTCGGTAGCTGACGTGTGGGGGAGGTGGAGGATCTGTCTAGACTGTGATTGGCAGCCGGGATTGATACCGCACTAACAGACCTGTCAAAACATCCCACTACACAGACAACTATACACAACTACTGTTGTATTCTTGTACCTTGGTAGCTGACGTGTAGGGGAGGTGGGGGGATCTGTCTAGACTGTGATTGGCAGCCGGGATTGATACCGCACTAACAGACCTGTCAAAACATCCCACTACACAGGGAACTATACACAACTACTGTTGTATTCTTGTACCTTGGTAGCTGACGTGTGGGGGAGGTTGGGGGATCTGTCTAGACTGTGATTGGCAGCCGGGATTGATACCGCACTAACAGACCTGTCAAAACATCCCACTACACAGGGAACTATACACAACTACTGTTGTATTCTTGTACCTTGGTAGCTGACGTGTGGGGGAGGTTGGGGGATCTGTCTAGACTGTGATTGGCAGCCGGGATTGATACCGCTTTAACAGACCTGTCAAAACATCCCACTACACAGACAACTATACACAACTACTGTTGTATTCTTGTACCTTGGTAGCTGACGTGTAGGGGAGGTGGGGGGATCTGTCTAGACTGTGATTGGCAGCCGGGATTGATACCGCACTAACAGACCTGTCAAAACATCCCACTACACAGGGAACTATACACAACTACTGTTGTATTCTTGCACCCTGGTAGCTGACGTGTGGGGGAGGTGGAGGATCTGTCTAGACTGTGATTGGCAGTCGGGATTGATACCGCACTAATAGACCTGTCAAAACATCCCACTACACAGGGAACTATACACAACTACTGTTGTATTCTAAGAATACAACAGTACTGCTTTCGTGCAACCTGTCCGCCTACCGCATTTTGACTTGAAAACCTTCTCGGAAAACTCAACCGAATGGATTAATTTCATCAATCATTTTGATAGCGCTGTACACCTCAACACATCTCTGTCTCCAGTATCAAAATTTCAATACCTACTAAGCTGTCTAACTGAAGAACCTCTAAATTTAATTAAAAACTTAAACATCAGTGCTTTTAACTACGAAATAGCATACAATTTGTTGCGCGATCGATACCACAATCACAGACGCTTAACTGCTTTACATTTAAATGCTATATTGGATCTTCCTATTGCCACATTTGAAAATACAAAATCAATACGTGAATTTCTAAATCATTTTCTGGAACATACACAATCACTTATTGCTTTAGAAAGTGACATCACAACCAATGACAATCCTTTGCTGTCAGCTCATTTGCTCCTTAGACTTAATAAAAATATACAGCAAAAACTTGAACATTACCGCTCATTTAAATCGTGTGAAACTCATTCGTTGCCATCTGTTGATGACATCATTAAATTTCTCAACGAAGAATGCTCAAACAATGACGATGCTAACCTACACTCTTCGACTTTTTGTCACAAGGCTAACTCAAAGCCTGCCCTCACATTTAGTAAAAATTACTCTAAACCAAGCATCCGCTATTGTGAGCACTTGTGAGCTCAGATGATCACTCCACTACTGTAAAAACATTTCCATCATGCTTTGCCTGTCAGCAAACCGATCACAAAATCTACATGTGTAAGGTTTTTTGCTAAAAAAACTCCAAACGAACGTTACAAACTTGTAAAAGAGCAAAATAAATGTATTTCATGTCTTGGCAATCACACACTCAAAGATTGTCGCTCAACAGGCACATGTCTTAAATGTAAACAAAAACACCACACCTTGTTACATTTTGAAAATGTTGTAAAGTCGGTGCAACCTCCTCCTGTAACCAAACCCTCAAAACCTTCAACTGCTACACCTTCTGTAGTCGCTTCAGCTCAACCAGAAATGTCGCTCTCAATTTCTCAGCCTGCAACTACGGTACTGCTAGGCACCGCTCTCATTAAAATTACCGCTACTAATGGAATATCTCATGTCTTTCGATGTCTGCTCGACAGTGGAAGTCAACTCAATTTCATTACGGAAAGGGCAGCACAGCTATTAAACGTCTCTCGTCACCGTTCTACTCACACAATCGTGGGAATCTCTGCATCGCAATCCTCAACAAAGGGACATGCACTCCTTGAACTAGGCAGTGAAGTAATTGCTTCAAATCAACCTTTCCATATTCTAGATAGAATTTCCGCTCCTTTGCCTCGTACTCAACTCTCTTTTGAGGTTTACGAACTGGTAAAACCTTTTGTCCTCGCAGATCCGACCTTTCATATTCCTCAGAATATTGACATTCTCATAGGAGGTGCTTTGTTTCCAGAACTTCTTACTCACCAATCTTACCCATTGGGCTCAAACCTTCCATTCGTTATTGGAACACGATTGGGATTTGTGTTAATGGGCAATGCACCAACTTTGTCTAACTCTTCTCCCACTTCATGCCATTCGTCTCTACTCTCCACTACGGACGACCTACATAATACTCTACTTCGCTTTTGGCAACAAGAAGAGGTACCGCAGTGCAATCTTAGCTCTGAAGACGATCGCCTCGCTGAAGATCACTTCAAATCAACTAACTCCCTCTCTCCAGATGGAACATATGTGGTTCGACTCCCTTTCAAGGGCCAACATCAACCACTGGGCACTTCAAAATCTGCTGCTGAACATAGACTTCACTCAATTGAACGCAAGTTTGAATCCAACTCTAATTTCAAGGAATTGTATACACAGTTTATGACTGAATATGAACATCTCGGACACATGGTCAAAGCATCCCCTTCCGATCTTTCGCAGCCACACTACTATTTGCCTCATCACGGTGTACTGAAGGAAACCAGTAGTACAACCAAACTTCGTACAGTTTTTGATGGTAGTTGCAAAACCAGTACCGGTGTCGCACTAAATCATATTCTTTTAACCGGTTGCAAACTTCAAATTGACATTTGTGACATTTTGTTGAATTTTCGTTCACATAATTATGTGTTCAGTTGCGATATAAGGAAAATGTATCGTTGCATTCAAGTTCACCCTGACGACCAGAAGTATCAGTTAATTTTATGGCGTGATCCAAAGACTCAAGAAATCTTCACATACAAATTAACGACAGTTACATACGGTCTAAGCAGTTCACCTTTCCATGCCATCAGAACGTTACATCAACTTGCTGACGACGAAGGAGGGTCCTTCCCAGCAGCAGCCAAAGTTTTACGGGATCATACGTATGTGGATGACGTCATCTGTGGAGCTCATACCCTCAACGAAGCTAAAGAACTACGAGATCAGCTGATCGAACTTCTTGCACGTGGTGGTTTCGAGTTAAGAAAATAGACATCTAATTGCCTAGAAATACTCCAAGATTTGCCTCGAGATCATCTAGAAACACCAGTCTTTTTCGAAGCCACTAATCACCCTCATTTCGCCATTCTCGAACTACATTGGTCACCCATTTCAGATTGTTTCACTTACAACTTATGTCTCCCTGATGGTCCTCCTACAAAACGATCAGTGCTGAGCATTATAGCACGCATTTTCGACCCTACCGGATTTTTGTCACCCGTGACTATGTGGGCAAAAACCCTCATGCAAATGCTCTGGTCACAGGGTATCCAATGGGATGACACTCTTCCAAATGAACTCGCCGAAAAATGGCACATTTTCGTTGATGAAACCTCTCTACCTTCAAGTATTAAGATCCCTCGCTCGTTCCATTTCACTACCACATGTTCCTTACAACTCCATGGATTTTCAGATGCCTCCGAAGTAGGATACTCAGCAGTTTTATACTTCCGCTGTGAGTTTTCAACTGGAGAAATCATCACTCGTCAGATTCTCGCAAAAACACGTGTAGCTCCTTTGAAGCGTGTTACTCTACCCCGTTTGGAACTATGTGGTGCACACTTACTTGCAAAACTCACAACCTACTGTTGTACAATTTTCAAAGAAAAGATTGACCTTTCTCAAACTACATTATGGTGTGATTCATCAATAACCCTCACTTGGTTACACACCCCTTCATATCGACTAAAAACGTATGTTGCCAACAGAGTTGCTCAAGTCCAAGAATTGATCCCCTCTCACTCCTGGCGCTACGTTCCCTCAACGGACAACCCCGCTGATTGTGCGTCACGTGGTTTGCTTCAGAAGATTTGTAAAATAAGTCAGAGGCACTTGCAGTACTCAAAAACAAATATATCATCCTGCCAATAGGAGCAAACAATCAGAGACAAGGAAGAGTGGTTTCGGAAGAAGAAAGAAAACAACGGTCGGAAAGAATGAAGAAGTATTGGGCGGACAAGAAGAAGAGACAGAATTTAAAAAGAATTTAAAAAGTACCTGACCATTATATTGACTTAAGTGGTCCAATGCTGGCCAAAAAATAATAATAAATAAATAAATAAAACCCCCCATAAACCCCCATTCCCATAGTCCAATCATGCTAGTTCGCGAACTCGTTCGAATAAACGTAGGTTTACACGTTTCTACCAAATGTCATCAAAATCTGATCATTTTTGCTCAAGTTATCGCGCTAACGGACACACACACACACACACACACACACACACACACACACACACACACAGACATCACTTTGAAAACCCCTTTTTTGGGTCCAGGGGGACCCAAAACGAATATATCCACTCAAAACTCAAACTCGAAAATTTTGACGAAAACAATACTTTCTCCATATACTATGGTATAGGAGGGGAAAGTAAAAGGGTTGTTTAAAAGCCATTTATGGAGCTTTTTACTTAAAAAAGTTACAGACATGTTTTGGCAGACATTTGGCAGCTTGTTGAACATATTTAATCCTAGGTAGGTATGGTAATTCATAGTTTTCGAGAGTCTACATCTTTGATGGTCCAGCTTACTGTCCGCGAGAGTAAAGAAGTCCCCTGAGCCCCGGCCTATTCGTAGTTTGAAGGCGTTACGCTTGAACGTTTCACGCGACAATTAGAGCCGTCTTCACTCTGCTCTGCTAGTTGTTAGGCTTAATTTTTATATGTCATATCTGTATGTTTTTATAAATCTATGTCATAATATGTTTTTTGCATAGTTATACAATCAAAGGAAACTCATTTTCTAGTGTTACTAAGGCAAATTAATAACCTTTCTACTTTATGATTTTTGTTCAGTGAAATGTAACAATACCAACAAAATACATTACAATAAAATCCTTTTTAAGTCCGAGTTTGAAAGCATTAATCCCAAATAATTAGTTGATCCATGAATATACTTACGGTGAATGTATATTACCCGTACATAATATAAGTACACGAGTACAGCAGTTTCAATAATAACAATAAACTGGAATTTGTAGATTATTTATGACAATTATTAATGCTAAGCATCTCAATCTAACTTTTAAGTCGACTCTTTTATCATACAATTAAAGACTTCCTACCAACATTATTAACCTTATAAATTTAGAATGCAATACTGTTAAAAAAAACAGCAGTGTTATCATGTCGCATGACTAGCTTTACGTTAAAACTTTAAGTCGACTCCTTGATCTTAGGCCTACTCCTACAGATTCCAAGAAAAAATGATATCATTTTAAATGTGGATTGCGCTACTATTTTCTGGAGCTTAAGACAGAGTAATTTAACATGTCGCATGATGACAACTTATTACTTATTTTAACAATTTTTGAAACTTTCCTTTATCTCACCATTACAGTTATCTTTCAAACAACAAAAATCTTTTAAATTTTGACTAGAGGAGCTGTGCTGCTTCGCATTGTTAAAATAACTATAATATCCGAGAAATAATCAAATTTATGATTTTTGATTGAGTAATACAGTATCTTGAGCTTACCTGATTTAAACGATCAATAGCTCAAATGAAAGTCTATAATATACTGATTATTTTGACTCTAAAACATATAAAAAACATGAACAATAGGCTACTGGAGCTATTGA